TCTTCGATGCCTCGAAGCAGAGCGAAACTGCGCGATTCTACCGGTGAAAAATGACACTGTAATCCGTGAGCATTGTCGACGTCGTTGGCACTGGTCGTTCGTTAAATCTCTCGTCTTATTCTCGAGCAACGTACGCGCACGTCCCGTGATCCGATCACCGGTTCACCACGTTCGAAGAAACCCGCGAATGTGTGAATTTAGCGATAAATAACGCGAATGTCTGGCTAGTTTGGATCGCCGCTCGATCTCGCAGAATCTGGTCGACCGAAGCAAACGTCGTGGCCGCCCCGTTCCCGGTTCGGTCCGGTCCGACCCGCGAACCCGACCAACTTCGTTCGAATTTCACAGTCGTAAAAATGCGAAGCGCGCTCGTCAAAACACAGAGGTAGATTGTTCCGCCGAGATCGATATTTGACCCACGTGCATACCAGCTTTACGAGGGTGCACGAACAAGCGATCAGGCGGTTGCTCGCGAACTTTCTTACCTGGCCGTGCTTGTCCATGTCGTTGTTCGTCAGCTTGACCTTTTCGAACGAGACCACCTGCTTTCGTAGCTGATCCCCGGTAAACGGTGAGTCCGGGTGAACGTAGAGCCGCGCCGGCGCCGGTGGATCCGCTTTCCCCGCGACCAACCAACAGCTACGATGGTACGCGTATCGGTATCGTTTGTTGTCCACTGGCACGATGTCCATCAACACCGCGTACCTGCCTTCCGATTTTAATCCGCTGAACGATACGCGACAGGTCGGGAACATTCGTCTGAAAAAAAAAAAAGAAAAGCGAACGAACGTTTTTTGCTTATCTCGGTGATCGACGTTCGAAAAGAGAACCGTGCGCACGCCTAATCGCAACCATGTACATAGTTACAGGCACTGCGCTGAAGTTGCCGATCGTTCTCTTGTTCTTACGATCTCGTTCGATAGAAAATTCGACGTTTAACCTCGACTAAATGGAAAACCGCGGCTCAACCGCACGTAATAATTGACCGATCGCGAAAAGGATACCAAAAAGAAAAACAAAAAAAACGAGAAAAAAAATGTATATGATCGACGAACCGTATCGAAGCGTTTGCGCAACGAGAACCGCGCGTTCGTGAAGTTGCGAAAACACGCAGAGGAAAGAGCGACGACGCGTCCGGAGGTTCCTGGCACGACCGATTCTCGTTGGAAGCGTGTGGTGAGTTCTCGAGTTAGAAAGCAACGTAGAGGCGCGTCTAACTAGTCGGTTTGATTGAAAGGAGCGCCCGCAGGCCTTTCAAGCTTCGTTACGAGCGAGTCACCCTTGAACCTCGTTATATGCAGTCAACTTTTCAACACCTCCAGCGTCGAGGCGCACGCGTCGGACAGATGCGCGTGTTCGTTGACGTAGCTTCGATCGGCGGCCAAGTGCACCGACGTTTCTAAACCGTTTCGTTACGCTTCTCGAGGAACGCTACGCTTTTGGATTTTTACCGGATTCGTCGTCCTCGCACGAGCAAAGGATGAATTCGTCCCGACGTGCCGATCAATTCACCGAGTGTCCGGGACCGTGCAATCCACAGAGCAGAGTATGTCGAAGAACCTGCGTCGAAAACGTCATGTCGATTTTAGAGGAACTTCCGCCGTGCGTTCGATCGAGGCTCCGCCAAGAAGATCTGTTCTCGATCTTCGCGAACGATCAGGAGTTGGAAGCAGCGCCGATCGGCGACGATCAGCTGATGAAATCGATACAGAACGTTTGCTCGAAAACGGCGCGGAAATGGAAAAAGGAATCGTCACCGGCGATCGCCGCTCGTGGTAGATCGGACGGTGGAAGAACGATGCGAGACCAGAGCACGGACGATACGTGCCTTCCGCGAACCAAGCAAGAGGAAACGACGCAGACGATGGAGGAGAAACAGATCCAAACTACGGAAGAAATTATCTGCGAAGTAACGTCGAGATACAGGTCGATCTCCGCGGGAACCGACAGCCTTCGGCAACGCATCCAAGAGGCGTCGATTCTAGTTCGAAGCATCGTCAGGCGTGGAATAGGCGTGTTTCCATCGGCCAGTTCGTGCTCCTGCCGTTTGATCAACACCACGATCTACGTCGTCTTGCTGCTTTCGTTGGCGATATTCGCGAGACACAGCACGACCTATCAAATCTTTTTGTCCAGTCAAATTTGCGGAATCCTCGCTATTCTAAGCTGGAGATTCTCCGGAACCGTCCCGTTGTAACATCATTTCCCGTTTTTTTTGCTCGTCGAACGAAGCGTCCTCCTTTCACACGGAACCGCCGAAAGACGCGACAGCAACAACGAGCAGCGTTTTCAAAGCCGATCGACGATTTAACAACGACCGCGTTGAAAGCCACGAGAATGCGACAAATCGTACGCGTTCGTTGAAAGACGGTCGATCGGACGGAGCCTCGAGACCGCAAACGCCGCAATTGCCTCAAAGTCGCCAACCGCAAAGATCGATTCACCGATGAACGAGCTTTCTCGATGCCTCTTCCACCACGATGTATTCTTTGCAACGATCACGATAACGATGCGGGACGGTCGCGCCAGATCCTACCCTTTCGTCCGGTTCGTCTGAAAAGTGGATCTCGTTAGACGTCTCTTCGACGGTTACCGATGGACCTTCTTCAGACTCGGAAATTCGGAGCACGCGACTCGCTACCGAAGAATCGACCACGCTCGATCGGGAAAACGAACGACGACGCGATCACCGTTTTGCCGCCTTCGATCGTTCGCAGCCACCCCCCTTGCCATACAAATTTCTCGTTTTAAAGCACCGATCCTCGTGTAATATATCATGGAGAAAAAGTAACCACTCTGGAGGGTAGTTTCTGCCGCGCTCGGCGGTGGAATAGAAATACATGGAAACGGCTATTAAGTATCGATAGTAAGTCAATGCATCGTTCCCCTGATCCTTCGTTGCGTCCCTATTTCTCGCTTCTCGTCCAACCCCTGTATATCTGGCGCGTGAACACGATTGCCCTTATCTTTATAGAGAATCACGAGGCACGGGTCGTTGATTTGTTACGTTCCGAAACGGTCGCCTTGCGTGCGGATTTCCTAAATTATACGAACAGTCGGCCGTTCGTAAAGTAGCGCGTCGTTGATGTTTTTATTTAATTTTACGCGACATCCTTAGTCGAATAAGTTTAGCGAGCGAATTGAAGGAAAATTATAGAGAAACGAAGCGCGACGCGATTAAACGAAACGATTCGTACGATCAGAAGGAAAAAAAGATCGTTTGTCTGTTTCACTTTCTCTCTACCTCCTGGCCGCTCTACCCTCTTGGAAATAGCTGTCTCTCATTGCATCGCGTATTTCCCTGTCAAATTAGGCAGAAACAAACAAGCCCTCCATGGGCCGTGGCTAACGAGGCCATAATCGCAGGAACACCTCGACCCCAAAGCACCCCAACAGCCTCGAAATACGCGTTACGCGTGTATACGTGCAGACGCATACGTACATCTGGCTGGTTGGTTGGTTGGTTGGTCGGTCTGCCCTAGTCCGTAGCGGGAGTAGCGTCGTATACGCGTTTTAGGGGTGGAGTGAGTGGTCGGAGAAGCCATCAGCCCCGAGGACAGAACCACCGGCTGAGGGGCTGCTACAAATGGATTACGGAAGCACTGGATATTATAGCGATCCGAAAGGCCATCCGAGTTACTTAAATGTTTGCCGAGCTAACGACTTTGCAACACCGCCAGGTGTTGTCCCTGTTATAATTATGTCCCGGCTCTTTCCGCGTCGCACCTAGCTGCTCGACGATCCCGAGCAGCGAGTCGATCGTTCGATAATTAGCTCGTTCTTGACCTTTTTCCCCATACCGTGTACCTTATGTACGTTATATTCCTACAGGCTGCGATTTACATATATATATATATATATATATACACGGATAGATATATAGATAGATAAATAGATAGATAGATAGATAGACAGACAGATATCGAGGCGTGGAATTGGACGTTTCTTGCCGCTTCTTTTCGCAGCCACGTATCGGCTGGAATTTTGGTTGCAACCGAGAGAACAAGAGAGAGCAACAGGGATAAATAGACGCGTTTACCAGCTCCTTTCCGTTCCCATTGACCCTCTCTTTCTCGCACTCGGCCCATCCTTGTCCTCGTTTCTCGCGTTTTCTCTATCGTCTTTTCATTCCTTCGGTTGTTCCGTGTGTCGTGTTTCGCGATCCGTGCACGTTCTCGCGTAACGT